AAAGATGATCAGCTGACAACAGAGACTACTGTCATTGTGTTACACATGTGCAAAAATCCAAAAATGGCTCAGTACGTCACTCAGTGCTCAGAAAACCAGGGTTATTCTGGAATCCAACTGGTCGAGGCAGACAACCACCCACCTACAGCCGAAGGGTCTGTCCTAGGTTTCTGCCTCTTAAAAAGCAGTTTTTCCTTGCCCCCATCTCCAAGTGCTTGCTCATGGTGGTACTGTTGGGTCTCTGAAAATGTTAAAAGGAGTTCGGTCTAGACCTGATCAATTTGAAAAGTGTCCTGAGATAACTTCTGTTATGAATTGGTGCTATACAAATAAAATTACATTATTGACATTATTTACATCATATACTGTACATTATATACATTATATATCTGTGGTTGGATTAAAAATATATTTCTGCATTCAAACCTTACTTTAGTAAAAGTACACAGCTGTTACTAAAAGTCACTCAGTTACATTTAATTTAGTCATCTTTATATGTCTTTCCAGTTGTCTTAATTTACTGTGTAATAATAATAATAATAATAATAATAATACCTTATTTTATATTTTGTATTTTGTATGCTACTGGATACTTGAATTTTCCTCGGGATAAATAAAGTATCTATCTATCTCTATCTATATTAGACACATATTGCATATTCATAGTCCTGTCTATAGCCTATATTCTCTAAACTATACTGCTGTATATTTTTTTGTGCTGTGCAATTATTTTTACACCACTACCTCCTGCTGTTCCTTATAATTCACACCTGTATATTAAAAAACAGTATATAATGTACATATAACTCTTAATTCTATTTTTTATTTAATGTGTTTTTGGTATTTTTATCTGTTGTGTTGCATCTGGAGCTGCTGTAACAAAGGAATTTCCCCAGTGTGGGATCAATACAGTCTATCTTATCCTATCAAGACTTGATCAAATTAAATGCTGTGAAGAAGTAAATAAATGTGAAGCTGTCCTCTTTCCCTCATACTTATTTCCATTTTAATCAGTTTGTGTTGATTCTTCTGATTTTGTTCAGTTTCAGTCTGTTTCCTTTGATTGTACAATTAAAAAATATGTAAAAGCAGATACATTTGACATTTTCTTTATTGAATTATAAATAACTCTTGAAATATCGATGATATATAATATACAAACTAAAATATAAAGAAATACTAGCAGAATTGTCCAAACTTGTTTTCCCCATGTCTTCTCATCTAGAGTGAAAATCATAATTTAACTGATATGATCACTACAACTTAAATTAACATGAATGAAACAACTATTCCAATGTTAGAAACTGTTCATTTCAATGAGGATGACAACCAAAGGACGAGTTTCCTATCAGGTAAAGATGACCTAAAGTGAACAGAAAAGATAGAACATGACAGAGAATAGACAGTATATACTGTATTGATTCAATCAGTCCAAACATTAACAAAAAAAGTAATTTAAGGGAAATTATCTTGAATTGAAGGACTGAGAGAAACATATCTCTGGTAGTAAGGTCAACTCGAATAACAATCAGGCTGATTCACAAATAAAATATCTGTGGAGACACTTTCAGATTTATTTCATTCAGACTGCACCTTTGTTGTCAAGAAATGTGACCAGTGAAATCGCCTCATCTGCCACCACTGTGTCCACAAAATTAGCGTCCCACTCTTTGAAGAGCTCCAGTATTTGCAGACAATTACTTTAAACCTTCGCCAACATGTTCAAGTTCACAACTGTCGCAGAGCTTCATTAAACCATAAACACAACTCACCCTGTTTTTAGAAAAGTAATTTCTCCTCTCAACCAAGGTTATTTTTGTTCATATGTAACTCCAGACTAATCTAGCAGTCAGCTAATGAGCGCCTCTGCCAAATACGGCTGACTGGGAGCAAAAAACAAATGTATCTGTGTTTACACAGCAAACCACAAGGACAAATACATTTGGAAATTGAGTTTCTTCTCGGCCTCGTGTTCAGACATAATGGGGTTTGCTTTTGCTCACATTAAGTTCTGATTAACCAAATTATCACCCAATTTAAACGAGAAAGAAAATAGATTTAATACAGAACAGCAGTAACACAGCCTCTGTCACTATATAAGGTAAAGCAACTTCAGACTGAAACAGGAGTGGAAAAACAAGCCCATAAAGCTCACTCCATAAAGCTTCAGTTTAGTTTATGCACCATATTGTGACCTCCACCAAGATGAGCCATAAAGCTGAACCAAATCATAACACAGACCGCATGGCTGCACATCTGCCGGGTTAATTCAACTTAAACTGCGACAGGTTGACCTTAAGTGAACGAACAGCAAAGATCTGGGATGGCACAGTAAAAAAGGTACGGATCAGAAATGTAGGTGCGAAAAAACAAAAGGTGTCTTTCTTTCTGCATAAAAGTTCCCCCAATCGAAGACTATACAAACGTATTGTACATTATAACAAGTTAGATTACAGCTCAGGTTTTTCTTTTGTACAAGTCCATACATACATTTCTTTTTAGTTCCTGCGGTCTGTACATCTTGGTTACAAAAAATACATGCCATTTTGAAGTATCTATGGACATAGAAACAAGAAATGTAATTAATTTAAGGTAATAGAACAGTTTAACAACAGAGCCTAACTGTAGTGAGTAACTTGAGGTTCTGAACTGTGTAGCAGAGACTCCAGCTTCGTCTGCCAGAAACAAATATGCACTCAAACTGATCCAAACTCAAAATCAAAATGCAGACAACATGATGACCGTGCTCCTCGTGCCAAAACTGGAGCGAGAAAAATGAAGATCGAATCAAAGAATGTTACAATATTGAAATACATAAAAGAGCGGGTATATTTATATGTGTACATGTGTTGATAGAGAAGTGCTCAGTGGCGTCTCATTTTGACTTTGCGTCCTGAACTCTCCCGGTGTTTGTCAGAGTCTTGACCGCGCCTCCAGTAGTTCTCTGAGCTGATGCTGTGACGACGGTGACGCGACGCTGACGGGTGTCTGTTCTCCTCTTTGTCCATCTCGAGAACTCTCGGCCTGGTGGAGGAAAAAGATCGAGACGCCAAGTCAGATTTGGATCATCATTTATTACACGACTGTACGGCCGCTTCACTGCGGCAATTTCCACGACACCTGTTTTAAAAGGACTTTCGCTACAACGCAGAAATGTCTTTGCACAAGTCTTAAAGCCATCTTTTACGTGGATTACATTAATAAATGACTCTTTATTTGCTCTTTGTTTGTGGGGCTTTTGTTGTATGTAAAACATTTAGCTGGATGTTCATGTATTCATCCACACAGTACAATTTAACATTGAAAATATAAGGAGAGAGTGTTTGAGAGAGGGTTGGATTATGACTGCGTACAAGTTGTTGTTTTTACTTATTCCTCCCTGGTGACACCTTGAGGGAAACTAGTTTATTTACTGATCTGAGAAGATCGATTTTCTCAACAACAATGTTTCATAGTCAGTTAACCTGATAATGTGTATAGGAGGTGATGATTGACATAAGTTCCTTACAGTCATGCACATTTCTCTCTGTGTATATTTAACCTTGTGCTGCTGCGGCCTTTACGTTAATCTGACTGCATTTACTTGTGCCACGTTGAAAATGATACAGAAATCTTACAAGGTCTGACCCTGTAAGATTGCAGTTGTGACTTTAATGTAACTTGAGACCAACAAATAAAAGTTGCACTGCATTCCTGCACAAGTGGAGCCTGGTTCGGTGTTTTTGACGCACAACCACTGGGATTTTGAGCCGGAGCCCTCCGCTATGGCAACAGAATGACTTCAATATAATGCAACTGGTGGGTTTTCCATGAAGACCTCCGGTGTGCCTGTAGTGTGTGGGTATACACACCTGTGAGCAGCATCAGGGTCTGCTCTGCGATGAGAGCGTTTGGCTTTCAGAGGAGCGTGTCTCTCTACAGGAGAAGAGCTTAAAGGGCTGTCAGAGTCCAGTCGAGGAGCATCCGGTCGGGTCCTGTCAAACAGAGGAGGGAGCACGAGCAGAAACGCACGGTCAGAGCGGGATTTCACACAAGAGAGTTACTTTTTAAATGGACGTATATACTCACTTTCTAAGGATGATAACGGCACGCCGCTCCTTGATGTCTTGGGGTCTGATGCAATGGGTGATGTCGTCAGCGGCGTACCCACTGAGAGAGAAAGAAGTTTTGAGTTACAACAACAACAACGACTCCAGCAGTTCAATCAAAGCATGAAGACAAACACAGCCGCAAGTCACCTGAGGACCGTGACACTGCCTCTCCTCACGGGCAGCACAAACACAGGCTCCGACACCCGGATCGGCTTGAACTGGAAGCGGCAGCCGAAGCAGAGCGCGCTGTCACTGAAGAAGGACACGGAGACGATGGGCCGGGCGAAGATGTGCAGGGGATCTACGTGGGACACGATGCAGCCCCCCGGTTGATAATCATTGATGACTGCACTGTTGACAAATCCTTCCGGGATCACCCCACTGGACACCAGACGCTTGATCACCAGCTCGTGCACCCAGCCCGGGATCTCATCCACCTCCCCCTTTCGGTACAGCCTCTCCTGGCCCGGTCCACGCTTCTCCAGCTGGGATCCATAAGTGTACCCCTCCCCGAAGAAGTACTTGTTGCGGAGGGGTGCCCTGTCCACGGTGTGCTCACGGTAAAGTCCAGCCTCTCCCTGAGCAACCACGTCGTCTATCTTCTCCTCGATGAGGGCGCACTCCTCCGCTGTGAAGATGCTCTTCTGCAGGATGCTGCTCCTCACCCGGTGGGCCTCCTGCTCCCGGAGCTCCGCGTTGTCGTCGCTGTGCTCATACTCGTCCTCGTCGGACTCTCGAAACTTGCGCTTTCGACCCTTCCCGCTGCCATTACTCGTCCCGTCCACGTATTTATTCTTCTCCTCGTCTCTGTGTGGGGTCATGGACTTCAGCTTCTCCCTCAGGTCAGAGTATCCGCTGGCTGCCATGTCGGCCAAAACAATATGACTGGGAAGGGAAGGGAAGGGGACGTGAGCTCCTAGCTAACAGACAGCATGCACCATCATTTCAGCAGTTTTAAAAGGGAGAATATGAAAGGACAAGATGTCAAAAGAAGTCAAAGGGAGGAGGAGGAGGAGGAGGAGGAGGGAGGCACTTACTCTCACTTAAACAGCGGTGGCACAAAAAGTAGTTAGCATTAGCTCCGTTGCTCCGCCGTCCTGTCTTCTCCTTCTTTACATTTAAACACCAGTTTGATGTAGAAAACCTGACGACCTGCTGTCTGATATTACCGGACAAACAGTGTGTAATGTATAAAAACCCTGCGTCGATGCTACCACACGCTCAGCAGCGGAGATGTGGACGATATCCAGCCGAGCTGCGTTGCTACCAGCTACTAGCCCGGTTTGTTCTGCCCGTCGCCGCCTGGAAATACCGACAAACCACGCAGCAACATTTCACATGTCGCCGCTAAATTCCTCCGAAAAACCCTCCGGAGACGTTCCCCACCCAGGTTGTTACCTCCGAGAGTCCAGGAGGAGCATTGTTTGTAATCCGCGCACGGTTTTAATCACAACGCGTCTGCAGGAGAAAGACTAGAAATAAACTCGTGTAACCTGCGAGACGTCTGCGCATGCTCAGTGGTGACCTGCCAGTTTTGGGGACTGAGCGTCTGTCACGTGTCCTGAGCGGGGGAGACACACACACCCATTTTTGGGATCCTTGAGGGGACACACACACTTCACTACTGCTAATTCTGTCCCACTAACCTCTTATTTACTTCTAGAAAGTTCACACTGGTCATTTAAAGGACTGTCTACACAATTTACTATTTAAAAAAACTACATTTTATTTATGTATGACTTCATATTAGATAGATAAAGTATCCAGTAGCATACAAGATACAAAAC